TAGTAAGTAAAAAAATTGGACATTCATTACAAAAAATTTTTATTGAATAAAACAATCTAAATAGAAAAAAAAATACATAATAAGGAATCTATATATTATGAGTTTTATATTATTTCTTTTTTTTTCGGAGAATTAATGCTTCGAAAACTGAGGTCATTAGCCTGTTGTTGTGGGGCAATGAACTGTTGGATTTAACACGTGCGAGTTTAATATTTATTTATTATATTATTCGATAGATAAAGCTTGTATATATATACAAATCGAACCCACACACACTGGCTACTAGTTAATCGATCAACGAACTTTTGTCATTAAAACAAGTCAAGTAGAGGGTTAATCTCATTATATAAGGGAGCCCCGATCGGCCCATTTATCATACGTGATTTTGGATGTTTATTATAAACACCTCCACGCCATAACATCTTTCAAATTAATAATTTGTACTTAGAATTTTTCAAACGACAATAATTTTGAACTTGGAAAATATACTAGTGAATCGTCATATTATATTTTTTAATATTCGTTGAACCGAGTGTTCTATTTCAACTTGAATTTTAATTAAAAGTTTAACATCGTTGTGAAATTAATAAAAATAAACAGTTTAAATACAATTAAGAGTCGATCGTATTGTATTTTAAATTCAATCACACTCATCTTGTTCTTTCATCGTCATCATCAGCTGTCGCCTGTCAGAGAGCGTGCTCTATACAAGTTACCAGTTTTTTTTTTTTATTTAATTAAAGCATGGCTTAAGTGTAAATATTGGTATGATATTCAAATTAATGAACATATTATATAGGTAATAGGTATGATAAATGATAATGTGATATTACCTATATGGTATTTTATATTAGTGTGATATTATAACACCACTTGTACTGACATAATTGTACTAGAATATTCATAATAGAAGGAAAAAAGTTTTATAACACTACTTTATTTATTTTGTTTATACCTACCTAAACATCTATTATGACTAACTTCAGTTTTGTATACATTTTGGATTTCATTGATTCTGTCAATCGTTTTTTTATTAGGGAAAAGGTTAAGGACGCAGCCTTACCCATATAATTATAATATATTAAAATAAAATAATATTCGAGATCATCTTGGCATTATGACTAGATCGTGGGAAAGCAATAGTTATTATTAACGATGAAGTATAACATTTTAGCATGGACTACATATAATTGTAAAAGGGCCAACCGCCAAGGCTTATGATGCAATAGTAAAATATGTACAATGGGAAAGTCCTCGGGATTAGTAGGTGGATGTTAATAGTCTCATTTGGCACCATGACAAAACTACAAGATTAATAAAACCCTACGTTGATCATAGAATAGGCCAGTTACGGGTACAACTGCAAATCCACTACCACACATACAGTAACGTGGGTATAGCGAATAGTAATTTAGGAAATTGACCACACTGAAGGTGGGAGCGGATGCACTATTCGCAAGGTTCAGTAGGTTGGGCCTATAAGCTCACTATATTATAGGAGAGCCCCGAACGGCCTATTTTTCAGACAGATTTCATATATTTTGCACAAGCACCACTACGTTGGACTATTTTTCAAATTAATACTTAGTATATTCTGATCGACAGTATTTTTTGACTTAGAAAATATTCAATTTATATTCATCACACTCATAATTTCCGATCATTGTCACCTGTACGAGGGCTTACGAAGCTTATCAAGTAATGAGGTTTTTTTTTTTTATTAAATAAACACATAGCTTAAGTGTAGATATAGGTAAAATATCTAAATTAATCAACATAATATATAGGTATGATAAATTATAACATATGTGATATTATAACACCCCTTGTACTGATAGAATTGTAGAATTGGAGTCGAATACTAGAATACTATAGGCGTGTTTACGGGTATGGCCAACCTGGCCATGGCCAGACCTGCTAAATTAGCTGCCCTCCATTATATTATTAATATTATAAAATTCTTATCACCGACAATTCGCAATATCTTTAAGGTTAAAGATGTATTATTACAATAATAATTGAAAAATGGTAAAAATACCTACATACAATTTTTAAATTTTTTTATAACCATTTAAAGATCGATTTTTGACAACACATAACAAAATTATAATTTAAAAACCCTATTAATGTATTATCTTATTCTGTGGTTTAAGCATTGTAATTTTTTATTTTTTTACATCATGAAAAATTAATAATAACATAATTACCTAATTTCATTATTTACAAATTAAATTGTTCCATTATAGTAATGCCGTAATGGACGATATTACTTGTAATGGGGTAGCTGCCGCTGGTATATCTATTATATAATGTTTATATTTTATTTTATGATATTCCCTGTTATAAATCTTTAAAAATACTTTATCTTTTTATGTGAATGATTGTATTTATGCTATATATAGGTTTAGTCAGCAATGTGATGCGTATATGAAAGTATATACCTACCAATTAACTTAAATTTGTCGTATGTGTCATTATCTAGGCCCACTCTGCCAAAACCCTTCTGAGGCACCCCAATTTTCAAACTTTTCAACACTCAACATAAATGAACAGCATATATATGGCTATATATAGCATGCATTATTTTTCACACCGGTTTAGCCTTGTGAATTTCCAAATTAAATTTATGAGTTATATTACTTTTAAATATTATTCAATTACATACCGAAAAGTACGTTATACACTAATTATTTGTCAAGTTAACAATTACAGTTTACAACGATAGCTACAATATATAAAATATTTTTTTTTTTTATTAGCGTTCGGCCAAAATTTATTACAGCTCATCCATTAATTTAATATACCTACATACAAAATATAACGTAGGTAGTAAATATTAATTATAATTTATAGTAAGTTATAACTATATAGTGATATTAATAATAATAGTGAGACATAGGTTAAAATATAGATTTAAAATTAATATAATAGACGTTTTGGTTTTTGGGTGGAGCAACATTTTTTTTCAGCTTAAGTCTTAACTGCTTGAGACTTCAGTCAATGACAAAAATATTGATATTTTTTCCAGATCCTCAGCGAAAAATATACAAAACAGTTTCAGGTATTCCAGGAAAAATATCGTTTCCTATGATTGGAACGAGGTGGATCTTTTGGAAATTCATCGGTTTGTATAAACTGAATGCTTTTCACTTTTCATACAAAGGTATACTATAATAATAAAGCTTAATATATAAAAAAAATTAGATATATGATTATTTAATTTGTGGCCCACGCTCAGTAATTACGCGTCAAGCTCGGTATCGATGAAAAAACATTATTGGTGACCTACATATTATTATCATCGTTGACAGGAAAAACCATCCCCATGTGCAAAACATGAATTTTCAGGAGACGAACACCGTATTAAATAAAAAAAAATCACATAGGAGTTATTTCAAAAACGATTTATAGTTGAGAACATAAGAAATCTAGGAGGATTTTTCTACGATGCAGACAATACACGGCGGCAATTTTATTCATAAATAGATTATTTTTCTCTGAATCCAGAGAAACAAATCCTCAAAATCATAAATTAGGGACATAAGAGGTTTATTCCTGTCGGCTGTCAACAACGATATTATAATAATTAGTATACCTAATATGTACATTGAAGTAGAGCAACAAAATAATCTATAGAGAATATTCTGTATGCATGATAATGAAATATTATCAGTTTTTTAATTTTATATATTATTAATCAGCAAATTCAATTTTGATTAGTGTTCGAATAGAATATCTTAGCCTATATTTCCAAGTTATCTTTGTCTTTGTCTTACTAACGCTGCATAATGTATCGAAATCCAGAAGTTCCAATTTTGTATAGTTAGATTAAAAATTAGAGATAATTGACCTATAATAAGACATAAATGTAAATATACTTGCGTTTTCTCGTTGGTTTAGTGTCATATTTCAATTTTTAAGTTATTTATGAATATGTTAAATATTAATATTTTATAATAATCAAAATTAACTTGAAAACAAAATTAATTATTTTGGTTCATTAAGTTTATTCACGCTACCTTAATTATTGTTCTGTTAAACTTTTTTAAAATTGATACAATTTAATTCAAGTTACTTAATTTTAATTCATGAGAACGCAGATTTAGAGTTATAATTTACGCATAGTGTTTTTGAGAATAGTGGACTGTATAGGACAGTGATTCCCAACATAGGAGGCGCGCCCCCCTTGGGGGGGCATATACACATCTCTGGGGAGGCGCAAACAGTCATCATAAAGTAAAATTTTTATTTATCAAATTGTATTATATTTAAAATGAAGAGCATAAATGAAAAATTAATAAAGACTGGTTAGTTGTCCATTCAGTGCTAACGTAGACACATTGACGGATACATTTCAAGAACAGGCAATCGAGCTGAAGAACGATTCACTATAGTATAGGAAATAAACTTATTCTACTTATAAGACTGGTAAAAAATCAATGAACATGGTGCTGTTACATTTGATTGCTGGATTGACGTCCTACTATTTAGAATAATACAAAATATTGATATGATATTGGGGGACACAATAGGCGCTGGCCAGCTGATGGGTAAAAAATAATACTATTGGATTTTAACAAGAACACAATAATAACCAAACAATGTAATACTACATAATAATTGACAATAGGGGAAGTAATAAATCATAAAAACCAGGTAATCTGTGGTCAGGCAGTGAGGTGGTACAGTGTGGTGGGTGGTCGCTGCAAAAACTGAAGGTGGTAAATAAAACAACAGTAGTTGGCGTAGTTGGTTTAGTTGGTGTTGGTAACGGTACACAACGGTGGAATTAACAAAACGGTGTTGGTGGTAAACAAAAACGAACAAAACGACAGCACAGGTCCGTCTGTTATTGCGGCGCTTGAACTACAGCGAGTAAAGTGTCCAGAAGCGTTTTATGGGCTGCCGCTCTGGAAAATAATACTGACCAATTAGACTTACAAAGAATTCATAGCTAGTCAAGACACCTCATATGAGCAAGTTTAACTTGTAGAAAGGTCATGATACAAATAAACACGTTGGGAATTTTTCTAGAATTATGTGCGAAATCGGTGTTGAACGACCAAACACAGTCTGGCACACCTGAACGCAGCGTGTTTGGGTCCATACTACTGTCGTCAAACTTGGATATGAAAGAAAAGAAAGCCTTGCTTAACGAATACATCACCGCAGGAATAAAAACAGTAATAATATATCATCATACGGCAGTGGTGTGTCAAGTGGGGAGTGATTAATGGTTATATTCCCCGCTCCCATTGACCCATAAAGACTTTTATTATTTAAATGTATTATTACTTAAACTCAAACCCCTCCCTGCGTATTCTACCTAGAAGACTGGTAAAAAATCAATGAACATGGTGCTGTTACAATTGATTGCCGGATTGACGGTCTACTATCTAGAATAATACAAAATATTTATAATATGTTCCTGGTCACGCCACGCCACAATCAAATGGCTTACTACAATATTATTCACAACCGTATCTTTTCCGCAAACGACAATGTTGAAACTTAAAACTCATAATGAGCGATAATAGTGAAAATGATAATAATAGTTTATTTTGTGTACTGCAGTAGCTGAGTGCAATCATTAATAATAATAAATAATGTATTAGTGAAGTACCTAGGTACTAGTTTTAATCCATTTTGACATAATATATTGATTATAATTATATTATAGATACCTATTATTTACCTATCTGCAGGAGTATTGGTATTTGGTTTCCGATTGATGTGATACGGCTTGAAGAACTTACCTATATTCCCAAAACTATGTCAATCGCGTCATCAATTATCTAAATCGGGTCTCCATCAAGCAAATATGTATAATTTTTTCTGCGATTTTGAAATTAAATCCAATGAAAATTATTTAAAATTTCCTTTTTGTAGTACAGCGAGTATTTCTAATATATGATATAAACTCATAAGTACAATAATAGTTGTTGTATTTCCTGTGTAAAATGTGGTCAATGATTGCAGGGCACACCTTCAGGAAAATCAATGTAATTTGAAAACTTTGAAAAATATTCATAACATTCATAAAATTAATATTTTTTACATAGTATATTACGTGACATAACAAATACGTCATATATTACATAGACGTAGGTACTTTAAACTAGTGTTCTTAGCATAGGCGCAAATTGACTAAATTTTTTGGGTGGACTCAAGCCCCCCTCCACAAAGGTCTTAATATAAGTAAAACAAATGTTGGAGGGAAACGCTCTCCATAAAATCCCCCACCCACTGAGAAACTATCGTTACGGATATATAAAAATACAAAGTATTACATTTTTAGAATATATTTATTTTAACAAAATTCTCAGTTCTTTTTCGGCAAATACATTTAAAATATCTTCTGTATTTATATTATTAGATAAATCCCTTATTCCAATAAATATTAAAATATAACCTAACAAGTTAGTAATAAACATATATCTTAGTCCGTGGACCGTGGTAACAAATAATAATTATTAATGATAACAAAATGCTCCGTTCAAAAATTGGCGCGTCAACCGTCGATTGTAGAGGTCAACAGCAACCACGGCATTATTCTTTGGCTATAGATACTATAGCCGTGATCGTGACACAGCCCTCATAGTTTATCACTAGGGCTCGGATTTAAATGCCCTAAAAATATCAAAAAAATGCCCTTTCAAAAAATGCATTTATGACCTAAAAACTCTAAAAAATGCCCTAAAAATATCAAAAAATGACGTTTCAAAAAATGCATTATTTATTAAATAAATTCAAATTTAATTATTATTAAAAAATGAGGAACAAAGTAAGTACCTTCGACGTAATACGCAACACGACTGAAAGCGTCCGACAATCGGCCACGCGCACCAGTGATATATTATCGCTCGATAAGAAAATAATCCGATAATATCGGCTAATTGGATGGTGTGACATAAAGGTTGTAAAAACCGGAAAACCTGATGTTAAATTAGTTAAAATAGTTCAAAATGAAAATAATTTTTATTACGTAGTACTATATTACTATGTAGTACTTATATTTCTATGAGGTCAATTTTTTTAGTCATAATACGACAAATAGGTCAAAAATGTCCTAAAATATTAAAAAAAGCATTTGAACCGTCAAAAAATGCTCTAAAAATGATGAAATCCTCTAAAAATGCAAAAATAACAAAAAAATTGCCCAAAAAATTATTATAGTTGGATTGCGAAGTACTTGAAACATATTTGTAGCTTGGAAAGCATCGAGTAAGATATCCCAAAAAAAAGATGCAAATGCATTGAAATCCGAGCCCTATTTATCACCTATAAATTACTTATCGGTTATCAATTATCTGTTTGACCACGAGGCACGGACTAAGATATGTTATAGGATTTTTTTATAAAGATTTAAAAAAAAACTAGCATAATAATAATTTTTTACAATAATTGTATTTTGTAATTTGGTTAAGTTTTTAAAATATATACATGTTTAGTACTACAGAATATAATAATTAGTACTAATTACTAGATTTTGAACTGGGGGGACTTGACCAAAATCTGGGGGGACTAAGTCCCCCCAAGCCCCCCCCCTATTTGCGCCAATGGTTCTTAGAATATTTTGTCTGCATTTAAGTACTATATAGCCCTCTGTGTCCTGCAACGAATTTAAGTAGTGCCGAGTGCTACAGCTACTTTATGCATTTACATATACACTACAATAAACTGACGTTCATTTCTACCTTCAAACGAATCAATAAATATGTAAATGCTATAAAGTTTTGTACGCACGTTTTTTAGTTCGGAAATACCCTGGTGTTTTTATTGTACCTGATTGCCAAACATCCGGAAGTACAGGAAAAGTTAAACAACGAGATATCACGGTTGGCTCCGGCAGTCCGGCAGGTACACCAGCATTACCAATAAATATTTAAAACAAGCCAAATTTTTGGATGCATGTATAACGGAAGCTCACAGGTAATCGCGTTAATATCATGATCAAAATTAAGTTATTGATACGCTTATTAATTCATATCGTGTTCTCCAGACTTAAACCCACTGCTCCATGTATTGCAAGAGTGTTGGAATCAGACATAATATACGACGATTACTGTTTGCCAAAAGTAAAGTGTACTTATAGTTATTGGCACTTTAAGGAAATTGTTACACAATATCAATGTTTAAATCATCCAATCAGAGTATAAAAATACTATCAAAACTTTTACAGATTAAGAATATTGATACTTATCTTTGTCAATAACTATATTGAGCATAGGAATTAGGAATACTTATGTTTGATAAATTAAACATATTCCATTGAGAAAAAAAAAAATTTAAACATAGTTATTGGCACCATAGTTGTATTATTGACACTTGTAATTATAGTTATTAGCACCCATAAATTTATATATTCAAATGTACCTATAGGTACCTATAATTACCTATATATTTACAGCTTAAATCAATTAGGTATTTAAACTTTTCTTCTACATAATACCTATATTAAATTAATATATGCGTGTATTTACATTAAAATATAATTTTTCAAATAAAACAATTACTTATTGATGTATTCTTAAATATTTAAAACTAACCATAGCTAGGTACCTACCTACCTATTACTCAAAACTATTTTTTAAATAAAATAATTAATTAGGTAGTTTTTAAAACAATTATGTAAATAAATAACAAATTTAAATTAAACAATCTTTTGCCTTTAATGATTAAAAATGTTTAAACTTAACATTTAGGTACTCCAGTAAAAATATAATCACAAATATTTATAAAAGCCATTTACCTAATAAACCGTTAGTTGGTAGGAACATTAAAATAATAAATAGGTATAAATCTATAAAAAATATTAACTTAAACAATCCTCTGTTTTTATTTATTAAAAAACATGTTATATAAACACAAAAGTAAAAAAATATTTCAAACATAACAAGTAAAAACATAATCATAAATATTTATAAAAGCCATTTACCTAATAAACCATTAGTTGGTAGAAACATTAAAATAATAAATAGGTATAAATTTATAAAAATATTAAATTAAACAATCCTCTGTTTTTATTTATTAAAAACTTATTTGTATAAACACAATAGTAAAAAAATGAATATTAAAACAATTCATAATACCTTTAGATATAGGTACATAATAAACAATTAATTGGTACTAATTTTTTAGTAAAAACTAGAGTCAATCATAACATTTTCACTTTTCATTATAAAACTTATAGCACTAAAAATTAGTACCTACCTAACTAATTATAATTTAACCATCATTTAGCACAGCAGATATGGCTTTCGGTAAATTGGTTTCAGAAAACGCTTCCCTTTTTTTAGGCATTTCTAAAATGTAGGTACCTAAGATATAATATTAATCTTTACTATTGTCTATTATAGAACAGAAGAATGTAATATAAAACTGTTTAAGTAGGAGATACATATTATATAGTTTGATTTTATAAGGTAGGTATTAATAAATAAATAGGTAGTGGCAAAAATAAAAATAAAAATGTTTACTCTTTATTCAATTATTGGCACACAATGCCAATAACTAAAAAACTGAATAATTGTAAGACAGTTATTGGCATACCTACTAAATTAAAAAAATATTAATCTAAACCTGATTTGAAGTATGTAATTTCATTTGAAATATTCTAAGGAATCAGAATATCCAAAGTTCAAATTATTTAGATTACTATTCAATCAATTAATGTCTATGTAAAAAGATATAATAAACAGTACAATATTGAAAGTTCTTACCTGATTTTGGATTTTAGCACGAATTAATTTTCGAGGGAAAAATATTCATATAACTGATAACATAAATTTGATATCAAACGTTGATTACTTAACTATGCAAGTGTGGCTAATTAACAAAAAAAAAACTCCTCAAATTATCAATAACATTATTATTTATGAATAAATGAATAATAACATATCAAGGTGCCATTAACTATACCAGTGTCAATAACTCTACACTTTACCCTATTATAGTATTTCGTCAGGAACGTTTTTTAGCCTCGTCGTGTCATATAAGACTTAATTTCAATAATATATTGTTGGTCTGTAGGGTTGATCGGGTTGTTAAAACGTAACAACGTTAAAACGTACGAACTAAATCTAAAAACAAGGTGCCAGAGCCCCAGAAGTATCAGGGACTCATGGTCTAATCGTTACTTTTCTTCAGTCTCGGCGGCGGCGGCTCGGCGGCTTTTGAGGCGACTTGCGGCAGCATTTGTAGCTACTCCTCGCTCAACGGCCATCACAGGTATACCTAGGATTTTTGAGCTTTCGTCCATAATAACTTTTTTTATTCTTATCTCATTTTGGTGCAAATGTCTTCCACCGGTACAAACAGCTCGGGGTCCGCGATATACCATAGGTAGATTGCCTACCTGATAATATATTGCTGCGAATCTCACGGGATAACGCCGGTCGAGATGGCTATACATTAAAATATAATATCATTTACACTTGAAAAGATATTGCTTCAACAGTATATTACACCCCAAAGAAGTTGAGCCATCAGAATTTTTTTCAAGTTAAAAATAATATTAATTCAACTTACATGATATAATAACTAATAACAATATAAAATATACAGACTGACAAACCGTCTCCGCTCAGAATCGTTTTTCTTATACAATAATTGTATATCATTGAATTCAAGTTTAATGCAATCCATTATACAATGACCCACGCGTAGCTTACTGTACAGCAGAGCGACATCCACTAACCCGCTTTTTTTTTTTTTTTTTTTTTTTTTTTTCTTGTTCCTGAAATTTACAATTTCTGCTTCGACAGCTAGGTCATTAGCATAGCATTATAAGCATAATTACGGGGCTAGGTAAATTGAGTCCGAGATAAGTTTGGTACATTTTGAAAGCGGTAAATTGAGTCCCGGGAAAAAACAGGTAGGAGGTAAGTTGAGTCCCGGGAAAAAAAAGGTAGTAAGTAAATATTATTTATATAAAGATATATAATATTTAGATTTATAGGGTTTATTTATTTAGGTTATAACATTACCGGTGTATTTGGTCATTTGCTCCCTTAGGTTTTGTTCGTTATCGATCATGCTTTTCTTTTTTTAATTTTTACTTATTAATTTTATTTGTGTCTCTGACTGAACTTCAAGTAATTCATCAATAAAGTTAAAAATATTCGGATGTGGACTGTAAACGCGTCGGTTTAATCTCGAATGATACGATTCACAACTATTGGTTGTACGCACGGTTGTAGCAGCAAATGCGGACCAAATATTCGGGGGAAATCGGTGAGATAGTAAGATGACGGTATCTTACTATCTCACTATATATTATAGTATATACGTACGAACAAGTCCTTACTTATCGGTACCTATCTTAATTGTGTTTAACCAAAGGTACGATGTTACAAAGTTATGGACTTTTATTGAATGTGAATGCTTTGGTGTTGTTAAGAGTGTATCGTTGGGGAAAAATATTATTATATAATTAATAATTATTATTTAAAAATCATTTCCCCGGGACTCAACTTACCTACTACCTTATTTTTTCCGGGACTCAACTTACCTACTACCTGTTTTTCCCCGGGACTCAATTTACCGAGTTAGGGTCATTTGGGACTCAATTTACCAATCCCGATAATTACATACATTTATAATATGGAAGGTAGAGAGAAAAAAAAAAAGGACAATAGAATAAAATAAACTAACAATTAAGATAAGACAGTTATGAATTAGTTATTTGGTATTTGGTACATTGTAAGTGTTGACTAAAGTAAATTAAGTATTTTAATTGCTTTAAAAATTTAATGGTGTCGATTTCGTTATCTGGATTTGGACCTAGACTAGTTCCAATTTGATGGCTTATATTGAGATCCTCTCTTTGTTTTTCGTACATTCTACATTCTTCAAAGATGTGTTTGATTGTAATTGTGGTACCGCATGATTGGCATAAGGGTGGGTCGCCTTTATTCATTAGATATTCATGAGTCAGTCTCGTGCGACCAATTCTGGCCCGATTTAGTTTTTTTTCATCTGAGGTACAGATATTAGGGTTTCTTCTCCATCTTTTGACCGTTTGTTTAATTTGGTTTAATTTGTTGTTTTGTGTGTTCCATACTTTTTGCCACATTAGAATGGTGTCTTGTTGTATTTGTTTTCTTACATCAGAATAAGAAGCAATGTTGATAAACTGTGAGTTCATTGATCCGATAGCTAATTTTGCTTGTTTATCTGCCTTTTCATTACCTATTATTCCTATGTGACCAGGTATCCAAATTATAATTATATTGTTGTTCTTTTGGTTTGCTTCTACTAGTTTATTTTGAATTTGGGTTGCTAGATCACTAGGATTAAATTTATTTTTTATACTAGTTATCGCGCTTAACGAGTCACTTAAAATAAAATATTTTTGGTTTACATTTTTGTTTATGTGTTTTATGGCTAATAATATAGCAAGTGCTTCGGCTGTATATATGGAACATGTTGATGGTAATTTGAATGATGTCTGTGAATTGTTTTTTATTATGGCTAATCCTACTCCTTTGTCACTTTTGGAGGCGTCGGTATATAATTCCTGGAATTCATTTTGGTTCTCAAGGATATTTTTCAGAAGGTTTTTATATATATGTGGAGGTGTGTTTTCCTTGGGTAGGGTATTCAATTCTGTGTTAATTTTATATAGGCTTATCCATGGTGGGTTAATTATTTTTTCTTTTGTTATTATTTGTGGAATCTTGGTGTAATTTTGATTTTTTTTTTAGTTCTAGGGTTATGTTGTTAGTTGATGCTGGGTTATTTATTAATCTTGTTAGTCTAGCAGCATTATATAAGAGTCAGCTCTGTTCTTTTGAGATCTGGCGTTGGTTCTCCCGCTATATTATAGATACTTTTAATTGGGCTGCTTTTGAATGCCCCTATAGCCATTCGCATCCCTGAATTGTGATTAGAATTTATATATTTCATTAATGTGTTTTTTACTGAATTATATATAAAAGAACCGTAATATAGTTTAGCTTGTATTGTTGATTTAAATATTTTGATCAACGTTTCCGTTTCACTACCCCAATTTGTGTGTGATAATAGTTTTATCAATCTAAGTGCTTTGTTTGTAGATATTTTCAAAGATTTTATGTGTGGCGACCATGTGAGCCTAGAATCAAATGTGATACCTAATATTTTTATGCATTTTTTGTTGGGTATATTTGTATTATCAATTTTAATGTTAAGCTCCACTACATTTGATTTCCTAGTAAATGTTATGCAGTTTGATTTTTCTATTGAAAAACTGAAGCCTGTTTTTGCTGACCATTTTTCTAGGTGTTTTGCTGTTACTTGTAAGTGATATTGTACTGTTTTGATATTTTTACTTCTACAAGAAAAATTTGCATCATCAGCAAATATGTTAGCTTTTATGGGAAATTTACAATGTTTGTCAATTTTGTTAATTGCCACTAAAAATAGTGTAACTGAAAGGGCGGATCTATGGTGTTGGAAATTAAAATCCCGTTTTTAGAGGTTTATCGTAATATTTCGGTGGTTTTTCCCGTGTCATTAAATAGCTATTGAGAAAAAAGAAAAATGTTCTGCCTAAAGTACAATATTGATCCAATTTGCTAAAATATAAGATACTATATATTATGTTAACCTAGGGCTAATATTTTGGTGTCATGTTTTTTAAGTATTCAAATACTTTTTAAGTACTCAAAATACGTATTGTAAATACATTAAAAAAAAGTACTTCTACACAGTATTTGAATACTTTTTTGAAAGGATCTGTATTTAAAATTAAATACTATTTTAAATAATTTATTTGTCTTACTTTATTTACAGGGACGTTAAACTTAAATACAAATCATAAACATTTGAAATTTTACAACATTTTTATTTATATACTAAATAATAATTATCCATTTAATTTAATATTTGAATATATGTAGTCCATCGATTTCCTAATAAAATTGGAAATACCTTTACTCGAATTAGGCAATCTCAAATAATCTTTATTTATAAAATGTAATAATAAAACAATAATATTTATTGTAACAAAGAATTATGTACCTACTGTCTTTCATTGAATAAAATATTATCCAATGCATTATAATTGTCAATTACAATTGAATCATCACTTTCCTTAATTACGAACTTTACAATAAATAATAGTTACACACATACAAATAACTAAGTGGCGGGACTTCGTGATAATGCAGAAAACAAACATAATGTAAGCCACTGACTTTGATATATACCTAAATACATAATACCATATTGTAGTAGAATAAAAATACGGAAGATAAAAATGGAAAATTAAATGTAAAAGTTACAGAAAAAGTAAGGTTAGTTGATAAGGTGATGTATACGTAAAAATATGACCCATTCGACAGTGTCCTTCGAAGAGTGAGACGCGACGGCGAGCCCTACTACTATAATAGTACACGTGTTAAACGGTATAATAAATTAATATTTGTATACAATTTATTCAAATGTACACTTATTTTTATATATTTAGATTGTATACCTACCTTCATAAATAAAAAGTCTACAAACTATTATGGCGATATTTATAAACAAAAATATTAGTAGTTCATTAAAGGATATCTTCTTTTTTTAAATTTTTGAATATATATTATCAACTCCATCATCTATAAATCAATTTTACCTGACTCATCACTTATAGCCATAGTAATATATAGGTATACAAATATACGATAAATTTACAGATTAATTTTATTTTAAATTATAGTATTATTTTTTTTTATTGCTTACTTACTAGTTCAAGTTTCGTCTGTTTATTAAACCAGATATTGTTTTCACGTACATTACCCCAGCCCCCCCCCCCCCCCCATACGATTTTCATATTTTTTTTGTCCTAATATTTAGTATGCAATTAGTATGAATTAGTATGACCATTTTTCAAATTTGTACGACCTATGTTTTCCATGTAATTGTGTGATGAGTATTGAGTTGGTAGATACTTGGTTACTAGTCATTTCATTTATAATTTTTTATTTAAATAAATAATATATTTTGCACGTATAAATATATTGTTGGCCTAGCGGTCTAAGGCGTCGGTTGCGACGCAGCCGATGTCGACTCGATTCCCGGCCGCGGGTGGCATTTTTCTTCGGGCAAGTCACGGTGTCCGGAGAATAAGTTCCACCATTTCCCCCACCCGGGCATGCCAGATACCTATGGACGCCCACTGATAATTATGTCAAACACACAAGTGTTCCATCTATCTACAGTTCCACAAACTAATAATCACAGTAGTTGAAGTCTCAACCATCAAAAAAAAAATGTATATTTTAATAAATCAACTATACATGAGTTCGAAGGTTATGCTGGACTACCACTGATTTTCCTGCGCTGTGGTTCAAAACTTTCTACGCAGCGGAATATGTGACCGTGCTCTTTCTCACGAGTACCTACATGGATATGTATAAACATAAATATATAATATATAATACGAAATGCTTATTTTACAATACCTAGTTATTTTATAATTATTCTTATACTACTGCTACTAAATGAAATGGGTTTATAACAATATATATTATATTATAAATATTTATTTTTTAGTAGGCACCTACCTAGTTATACAATTTTCGAGTTTTGGATACAAACTCTTAAAAATGATTATTGTTGCCTGTTGTGTAGTATCACGATGTAGAGGAGATATCTTAGTATATAAAATCATACTGTATACGGAAAACGATTTTGAGCAGACTTATATTAATACCTAAGTATATTTTTTGTTATAATTGCTATTAAAGTAATTATATCTTTAGTAATACAGCGTAGTCATTGAATAAATTTATGCCGAAACAATAATATTGTTACATAATTTACTCTCATCTTGATATCAAACTGTATATAATTTAACTTACAGCAGTACACTTTTTTTTAACTAATTTTTGGAAGGCCAATTTTTGTAACACATTATCTATGTTATAGAAACGCAAACCAAAAAAATTAAATTAAATTAAATTAAATCGCTAACCAAATGTAGCATGTTACTAGATATTTTTAAATTGTACTATAACCAAAAATATATCTATAATTCCTCAATTTAATTTAACTTACCTAATGTTTTTATCATACTTTTGGACTAAGTATAGTGTGTTCGCATTCCTGATTCCTCGTTCAAATAATTAAATGAAAATATTTTTAGATTCTGAGTAAAACGATGAGTGTATTGATTTTACAATGATGTGTGTATTTATTTATTTATTTATTTATGTTTTTGTGTACACAATAATTAGTCGAAATAATGCTTCGATTTTCAACTTCAGTATCTTGTTCGATTGGAAAGTTAATATTGTTGGTGCATTCGGGATTTCAAAATTTAAAATTCCCAGTAATTTTCAACAGCGCCAAGAAAAACAAAATAACAATTAAATAAAAAAGCGGGAATTTTTACGCAAAATCGATTATACAAAAACCGAATTTGGAGTTTGGTGTAACCTTAAAACAAATGACCGTAGAAACATGAAATTTTCACTAGTTGTTTATATTTTCATTTTCTATTCAAAATACGATTTTCAAAATATTTTGACTCTTTTTAAGCTGTTAACGGACATTCACTGTTTTCAATTTTTCTAGTGTTTTTTCTATTAATATCAATAGTTTTACCTGTTGGGCCAAAAATTTTAAAAATTTAATTCAAGGCTCTTGATAAATTGTTACAATATCAGTTGAAAAATATTTTTTATAAGCATTTAAAGATCGAATTTTGACAAAATTTATCAAATTTAAAATTGAATAATTATTTTGTAGTTAAAAACTTATAAAATGTTCAAATTTTATATCTAAGGATTGAAAATTCAAAACAAGATTCCATGTAAGTAGTCAATTCTGTTACCAAAAAATATAAAAATACACAAGCACAGTTGATTTTGATAGTCATTTTAAGTTCAAATTTGGACGAAATTAAATATTAAAATCAATATTAACGGTTTTGGTTTTTTGTTGTAATTTAAAAATATTGTTCGGGCCGTACGGCAATTGTAATTTGTTGCACAATCGAACGCACGGTAATTTGAACGATTTTTTAATATTATTATTTATGTTTTGAAAAATAAATATAAATCAAACTATGTTAAATTTTGAATTATTTATTAAACGTACAATTTGAAATATATTTTTTACAATTGGTTCTGACTTGTCGCACTTAGAAACCTTGGCGATTGACACTGTACTCGGTCGCAGCTGTCGGCAGACTAAAATTAATAATGTGCCCTTTAATCAACGCAGCGCGTCCAGCGTGCTTATCTGTCTTTTGTGGCGACCGATTACATTGTCGCCAAGACTGAACATACCGCCCGACATTTTAGGCTGTGCTAAAATCGATTCACATTTTTTTTTTTTTTTTAATAATAATTAATGGATTCATAATAGATTAAAAGTAATAATAATAATAATTATAATAAATAAATTATGGTGCGTAATATAGCAGTATAAATATGTATAAATATATATAATTTTTTATTTATCATCGTCGGCGGGTAATGGACATAGAGTTCGAACTGCCCGTTTTATTTCTCCTCTTTCCGTTTTTACCATTGCTACCCTGGCTACCCCGTCGTCACCCGCTAGTATTCGCGTGACTCTTCCCAAGCGCCACTGAAGTGGAGGAATGTTGTCCTCCTTGAGAATTACCAATGCCCCTTCCTTGAGTGTTTCTCCTTTTGATTTGAACCATTTTTGTCGTCCTATTAATTGTGACAAGTATTCCGTGCGCCATCGATGCCATATTTGCTGAGTTAATTGCACGGTTCTTTGCCACCTACGTAATCGATTTGGCGACACCGTGGACATGTCGACGTCTGGTATATCATTTAGAGAGCTTCCGATAAGGAAATGACCGGGAGTGAGTGCCTTTAAGTCAGTAGGGTCGGATGAGAGGGGGGTGATAGGACGTGAGTTTAAACATGCCTCGATACGTACCAACACAGTATACAGCTCTTCGTAAATTAGCATTGCGTTTCCTAATATCTTACGTAAATGCCCTTTTACCGATTTTACGGCTGCTTCCCACAATCCGCCAAAGTGCGGAGCGCGGGGTGGAATAAATTTCCATTGAACGCCTATTTCGGCCGAAAACTCTTGGACTTGCTGCTTGTGCTGTTCAGATAAAAATAAAATATGTCGTAGTTCTTGTAATTGCCGGTTTGCGCATACGAAGTTGGTACCGTTATCTGAGTATATCGTTTTGCTTATTCCACGCCGAGACCAAAATCTTCTTAGCGCTGCTAGAAACGCATTAGTACTCAGGTCTCCCACCAATTCGAGATGCTGCACAGCTTTTGTGGCAAAACAAATAAAAACACAAATATAGCCTTTTGTCGCTTGTGCATTTCGTCGTAAACTTGTTTTTACCATGATTGGTCCCGCATAGTCTACGCCACAAACTTCAAACGGTCTTCTCGGTTCTATTCTGTCTTTCGGCAAGTCACCACAAATGGGCTGACAAATTACGGGTTTTGTGCGAAAACACAGAACACACTTGTGGACGGTTTTCCTGGCGATATTTCTTCCGTCCAGTGGCCAATATCGTTCACGTACGCCGGCTAGCAGCGCTTGAGGCCCGGCATGTAACAACCGCCGGTGTTCGTGTTCGAATATTAGTTTTGTCAAAGTTGATTTTGCCGGTAATAATATTGGATTTTTCGTTTCGATGCTTATTGATTCTGATTTATTTAATCGACCTCCGACCCGTAAGATATTATGTTTATCTATCCACGGTCGCCAAAAACGCAATTTACTTTTATTAGACACGTTTTTTGATTGTTTTAAACAATTTATTTCATCACTGAAATGCTGATGTTGAACTATTTTTATTAATTTTTCTTTTGAGTCATTTAACTCGCTTAACTCGATTGTCCTGGTTGCGAACTGCACCTTGTCGATCACGTGGCTTTTCCATCTCATGACGTAAGCAACGACTCGTAATAGTTTCGTTAGCGAAGAATATTTTTTTATTACCGAAATTTCTTCGGTCACGACTGTTGCCACTACGACGCTTTTTCTTTCTTCTGGAATTTCATTTTCCGCTATTTTTGTCTCGACTGTTTTTTGAGGCCACTCATCCTCATTACTGTTTATCCAAGGCGGACCCTCCCACCACAAAATATTATTTTGCAATTTTTCGGGAGTGCAGCCGCGAGATATTATGTCGGCTGGGTTATGTTCCGATGTTACGTGTCTCCATTGTGAGCTATCCGTTACTTCCTGTATTTCTCCAACCCGATGCGCGACGAACGTTTTCCATCGCGATGATGGCGCGTTTATCCATGCCAATACGATTGACGAGTCAGACCAGTAATATTCGCGTGTTATTTTTATACGTAATTTTGGAATTATTTTTTTTGCAAGGCGCACTAATAAAACAGCTGCGCATAATTCTAATCTCGCCAGAGACACTGTTTTTAATGGAGCAACGCGGGATTTTGCTACTATTAAACGCGTATAATGTTTTTTCGTACAATCCGTTGTTCGTATGTATAAACACGCGCCGTAAGCGATCGTTGACGCATCCGCGAACCCGTGTACTTGAATATTTGTGTACTCGTCGCAGCCGATTATTTTTCTTGGAATAACAATATTTTCTATTTTTACTAGCTCTCGACAATTATCTTCCCATTCATTCAATATTGGTAACGGAAGCTGTTCGTCCCAATTAAGTCCCTTTTGCCACACCTTTTGCATAATAATTTTTGCTATTATTACGATTGGACCAATTAAGCCAAGGGGATCGAATACTGTCGCGATACATGATAATATATCTCGTTTTGTCATTAGCTTTGTTGATGTAGGTTGTCGTAAGAGTTCGTTGACCTTATACCGATATGTGTCTTCATGCGGGTTCCAAAATAACCCGAGCGTTTTGACCGGGCTGCTATCTAGATTTAATACACGCAGTGGGTCGTTATCGATGTTTGGAATGTTATGTAATACCTGCGAACTATTAGATACCCATTTTCTTAATTGCAGTCCGGCGCTATCCAATATTGTTATTACGTTATCGCGTAATTTAATTGCTTCTGACAATGAACTCGCGCCGCTCAATAAATCGTCCATATAAAAATCGGACGCGATTGCTTCGCTTGCCATTGGATATTGTACCTTATTTTCGTCCGACAATTTCTTTAAACAGCCTGTTGCTATATACGAAGCTGGTTTTGTGCCGTAAGTCACTGTTTTTAATTGATATTCTTGCACCTCATCGTCGGGTTTGAAACGCCATAATATTTTTTGCAAGTTTTTATCCTTTTCGGACACCCATATCTGTCTGTACATTTGCTTTATGTCAGCTGACAGCACATATTTATGCGTTCTAAATCTAGCTACAATGCAAATTAAATCATCTTGAATTACAGGTCCTTTGAGTAATACGTCATTTAGACTTATACCAGTGTTTGTTTTACATGACGCATCGAATACAACACGTATTTTCGTCGTTATGCTGTAATCTCTACATACAGCATGGTGTGGCATGAAGTACGATTGAGTGTCTTCATTTTCCACCTTCGGCACAATCTCCATGTGTCCACACTGTAAATATTCATTTATAAATTCTTTATAACTAGTACACAATTTTTTGTCCTTGCTTAAACGATTTTCTAGCGCCAAAAACCGTTTTTTAGCGATTGATCGGGAGTCGCCCAACTTTTCAACTTTTTCTGTTAAAGGTAACTGTACAACAAATTTATTATCACTGCCTCTTTTGACTGTTTTTTCGAAATGCTCGATACACATTTTTTCCTCTTGATCGTAATGCTGTGTTGCCGCGATTTCTTCGAGACTCCAAAATTTCGACATTTGTGTTTGTAGCGCATCAAAGTTTTTACTATCTATTGTTTGTGCGATGAATGCGTGCACGTTTTCTTTTGCTTCGGTGGAAGTCGGTCCAGATCAGGGGCGTCATTTCAACTTTTTTTTGTTGGTGCGAAAATGTTTGCAGGCCATTCAAATTGTTACCAGGCCACATAGAAAACTTTTTTTTCTTTAGTGGGGGGGTCTAGTGGGGACAAAAACTGTAGAATATTTGTAAAATGTATTTAATACGTCACTTATATTAGTATGAAAACTTCACAATATTATTACTATTTTTGAAGAACTATGTGTAGGTACTTTTAATAAGTTTATATTATATTATGGATGTCAGTTGTATTTGGTAAGCAAATTTATGGATATAAAGCACCTTAATAGTACTTAATCGAACCTAACCTATACATTTTTTCTCCCTGCACACTCAAAATAAATAATATAGCTAAACGCCTAAACCTGAAATTTGTATTATGGGTTACCTTGTTCAAAATGGCACAATATACTTAATTCATATTTGTAAATTTTTCCACATCAATTTTAATTTAACTTTAAATTAATAAATTTAACTAAATTTTAATTTAATTTATTATTATTATATAATATATATTATTAAGTATTTCACTTCTTTCTCGATCACGACTAGAACAATCGTACTCTCAACGTACTAACTAAAATTGGTGGTAGAATTTATACCATAGAATATCATTTCTACCATAGAAAGTAAGTGACAAGGTTAAAAATGTAAGCAAATAATATTCTGTGGTTGCTATTTTTAGACAATTTTTTCCCTATTAATGGGAATTATATATCATGTTGTTTTCTTATTATAACGAGTAGGGAGATACCAAAGCATGATAAGAAATCTATACCAGCATAATATTATACCCACAGATTTATTATATATTCGATGGCAATAATATCATGGTAGAGAATAAAAAAATATATATAACCCATAGACATAATTATATTATTATTATTTTATATTATGTCAATGATATAACCACACAACCACATCGATCATTTTTGGAAATAAAACCCATTAGTACCTATAATATTTATTATTTTTTTTTAAATACTGAAAAAATATAAAATATATATAATATATTAATATATAACACTTAGGTATATCGGCGCTTATATTTATTGTTGGCAGGCCAAAGAAGGCGTTTATAAAAAATGTTGGTGCAAATGTACACCCTGCACCCCCCCAAATGACGCCCCTGGTCCAGATACGACCCAACCCAGCTCGGTTTCTTGAAAAACGGGGCCTTTATCATAAGCCTTGTACTTGCCAGGTCGCAACAATTCGTAAAAGAGCTCCGCTCCGATTAAAATATCAATTTTTCCGGGTTCACTATACGACGGATCAGCGAGTTTTACCCAGTCCGGAATGTGCGAATTTTCTAATTTTATTTTATTTGTGTGTAAGTTAGGCGTTATTTTTGGTAAAATTAAAAATTCGAGGTTTTCTTCATACGACGTTGCTCGCGATTGTACAGTCGTTTTTACCGAAAAATTTGCCTGATTAGTCGAACCGTCGATTCCGGTTATAGCATAATTGACCCTTATTCGGGGCAACTGTAATTTACTTGCCAATTCATTTGTTATGAAGTTACTCTGTGAACCCGAGTCGAGTAGAGCTCGTGCGCAAAATATATCGTTTGATTTACCTTGAATATTTATTATCGCTGTTGATAATAAAACGTGCGCAGTATGTCCGATATAATTGCTCGCGTGAGCACTAATCGATGTCGTTACGGCGGGCTCGTTGCCGTTATCATTGCTGGGTGCGTGTAACAATGTATTATGTTTTTCACCACATTTCCGGCAACCTTTAAATTTACATTTGTTTTCCGCGTGTTTGGATAAACACACAGTACAAATTTTTAGTTGATTTATTTTGACTTTTCTTTCGGGAACTGAAAGAGATAAAAATTGTGTACACCTGTAGATCGGGTGACTTTCATTGCATGCGAAACATTTTAATTTTGTAGTCATTGCGTGCATTGATGTCGTTTTTTGAAAACCAGCTCCTTCATATTTTTTTTGCTTTGATGAGAACTGATGAGTATTTTGGTTAGTTTTTCCATTTAAATTTTGAGCCCCTTCAACTGCTTCTAATATTTGAAATCTTTTTTGCAAAAATTCTACTAACTCATTCACTTCGGACACCTCCGTTTTATGTGCTTGAGTTTCCCACTCACGTAACGTGGCTGTGTCCAATTTTATTAGAATTACGTGCACTAAAAGTGGGCCCCAGCTATTCGTATCAAAACCTAACGCTTCTAAGGCTTTTCTGTGCCCTTGCAACGCGTCAATAAAGTACATTAACTTCGAGGAAGATTCTTGGTCTATAGGTTTCAAGTCGAAAATTGCTTTTGTATGATTTTTTACTAAAATTCGTTTATTATTATAACGCGCCTTTACGCACTCCCACGCTGTTGAATAATTTTTTGCCGATGTTTCGAAACTTTGAATTACTTTTGCTGCTTCTCCTTTTAGTGCTAATTTTAGGTGGAAAAATCGTTGAATGTCCATTATGTCTTCGTTTGAGTGAACTAGAGCTACAAACATATCGTGAAACGTGGCCCACTCCTTGTAGTCGCCACTGAATTCTGGTACATTTAAGGCGGCCAACTTCACCATGGACGCGCCCCTTATTCCACTTCTTACAGACGTGTTTTCGGTTTGCTGAATCGGCTCTTGATTTAATGCATCTTCGTTTTCATCTCTTTTTTTTACGTTTGACATTTTCCTTTTTTCAATCAGCGTTTCGCAGCTAGCAACCACGTCGAAGTACAATTCTTCGAACTCTATTCTATAATCTTCTTCACTCTCTGCATCTTCGTTTTGTTCTATTTCTTGCTGAATTTGTTGGAACTCGACCCAGAACTCCTGTGCCTTTTCTTTTCTTATTTTTAATTGATTTATATCACCATCCGCAGTTGCGAAGTTTTTTGCGTAGCTGCCTAATCTGGTTAATTGGCCTTTTATAACACCGCGTCGGCTTATCGACGTTGCCTTATCGTACATTATTTCTACCTGTTTTGTACGTAACAATTTTACAATATTATTACCTGAACTATATTATCGTTCTCGGGACTTATTATTTGCCGCTGACCTTGATGGCTTATCGACTGTATACCGTGGTTACGCTATTTTAGGCATGTTTAGGGGAATACTATACGTTGGTATTATAGGATTTAACATAAGGAATATTACGTATGCTCTCTTACCTTATACCTCGTGGTTTGCTAGTTCTCCGCCTTTGAATTGTATCAATGAAATTAGCCCCAATTTGAATGGCGGGTTACTTGTTTTTAATTTGTTCGCGCACTACCCAGTCCGCGATCCGGTTCGAAGGACCAAAATGTTCGGGCCGTACGGCAATTGTAATTTGTTGCACAATCGAACGCACGGTAATTTGAACGATTTTTTAATATTATTATTTATGTTTTGAAAAATAAATATAAATCAAACTATGTTAAATTTTGAATTATTTATTAAACGTACAATTTGAAATATATTTTTTACAATTGGTTCTGACTTGTCGCACTTAGAAACCTTGGCGATTGACACTGTACTCGGTCGCAGCTGTCGGCAGACTAAAATTAATAATGTGCCCTTTAATCAACGCAGCGCGTCCAGCGTGCTTATCTGTCTTTTGTGGCGACCGATTACATTGTCGCCAAGACTGAACAAATATTATTCGGGGATATATGAAACTGAATAATCAAAAAATCAAAATATTCAATAAATCAAGATCTATGATAGTATCAGAGTTTGTTGTTGATGTATAAAGCGTTATAAGTACCTAATGGATATTGTGATATGATGAATTTGGAATTTATTATAAGTACCTATTATAGATCATTTTTTTTTAATACCATATACAGTATGTATAAGTATATAATATGTCTCAAACCTAGACTGACATACCGTCTCCGCTCAGAATCCTTTTTCTTATACAATGATATTATATAATTGAATTCAAATTTCATACCATCTATTATACAGTGACCCACTTTTAACCTACTTTACAGCAGAATACCTTTTTCAATATACATGATATATGTACAATGTCTACAAAATATCATACACAATATATGTATGCCGTACGATACCTGATTGTCTTTATGTTTATAATTTATTAGAGTTTATCAAAATAAATCATTCGTATTAATCACAATTGTGGGCTTTTATAGCTTTATAAATATTATATAAAAGACACAATTCGTAATGATATATCTGTATAATTGTTTATATTGTACAAAAACATTTTGGATATAAATAACAGATGAACAAAAAAAATGTATTCTATTCTTTAACAGCAAAAAACAGACTTTTATCTGGAGTACCGGGCGTTTTGTATAGGCAATATAAGTACATTCCGGATATTATGGCTTGGCGGTTAACAAGTAACATCGCATTAGTTAGAACCATAGACGTATATACAGTGTAACATATAATATAGAATATAAATTCGCTAATACAACTTGTAGAGTTTTATGCGTTTTAAATATTTATGTTTTTAACAGATTGTTTCTCAACACAAAATCCATTATTTAAGTCGTTAATGAATTAGAAATTTGAATGTTTAAATACTGATTCTGCATCACACACACACACACACACACACACACACACACACACAAGCAAGACGATAACCAAACCAGTGGCGTAGACATGATTTCTGAAGGGGGAGTCAAAAAAAATAAAACGACTAGTTAAATGGGAGGGGAAAATTGGAAAGTCCCCGCACCTCTCAAAACTTTTTACTTAGGTAGTAAAATATTTAACAATAATAAACAATGAATATAATTTGAATTGATTCAAAATTGGGGCCGGAAAATTCCCGGAAAATAATAAGACGGACTTTAAAAACCCTGAATTTCGCAAAATCCGGAAAATCAAAAACCGTAATCTCCTGGACCGTAATTGTACGGAAAGCTAAATGATATGGACCGTAATCTCACCGAACGTAACATTCC